AATCTTGATCTCTTTAATTATGTAACTCAACTTGTCCTTGAATATTGTCAAATAAGTCATCACACACCTTAGCAGCTCCTTCTGTCAAGGAAATCCTGCACCACTCATCTATGCTAGCTCCACATTTTGTAAACTAGAACAGTGACCATTTGACAATAAGGACCTCAGCAAGTCAACAGAAGTCCTAGTGTACAGAGCAATTGCTGCCACCATGTTCCTGTACTGCAGTGTGACCTGAGCTGTGTGTTAATGATTCTACCAGCTATGCTTCTGCCACAATCTCCAGTTTCACTGGAAGGAACATCAAACAAATGTTGGTGTCCTTCTTGAAGCTGTCTCCATGAACATTCAGGCAAAACTCCTGCTAAACAAACAACGAAGACGGTGAACTGGAGACGATATGTTGAATCTGAAGTGTCTCCTCAGATGTTGTAGAGGAGGGGTAGTGTCCCTACTTATGGGCCAGAAGGTTTGAATCTCCCCCGCCCTGGAGGTTTGTCATAACAAGTCAGCTTGTTTGAAGTTAAGAAAGCAGCTTGATGCTATGGGTCTAAAAAACCTTATCAATGCTGAAGCATGGGGCAGTGAACTACAGAACCCACCTCATGTGCCTAAAGATCTGCAGATTTAGAATTGCCGTGCACAAGTTTCAGAAATGTATCCTACCTCAGGCTGGCTTTAACATTTACAACTATTACTTAACTTTTAAAAAATTAAAAATGCTTGATTTTGCTAAGAAAATAAAATCCATTCCTTTGCTACAATCAAGTGAGGAATGGTTAGATAGCACCACTCTTTTCCCTCTCCTCATTTGTTAGCAACAGGTATTTTAATTTGAAAAGGATGTCCTTGCCAATGTAATGAATATTTAACTTTGTCCCCGCTGAGATCATAAAAAAACTGTTCAGATAAGTTTTCTTGAGTTTAATTTTAACTGATCTGAATGAAATGATTACATATTCTTTATTACATGGATAGTTAAAGATTATACACACCCAAATGTAGATGACAAAGGTTGGGAGGGACAAATTAGACTCCATAGTAAAAGGATTAGACAGTACGTCCTGAAGAAGGGTCCCTGGACCAAAACATTAACTTTGCTTTCTCTCCACAGATGCTGCCAGACTTGCTGAATTTTCCCAGCAATTTTTATTTTTATTTCTGACTTAAGATCTACAGTTCTTTGCTTTTATTTGTCTGGACAGTATGTTGTTTGTGGATTCAGTTCAACCCAAGCTAAACTCAGCAGTCTTGCAACTTCCCTACAGTGGTCTATTCTCCTGGAGATGGGTCTGCTGGTTTGAATTTTTTTTAAGAAGTCTTTGCCTGGAACAGGAGAATGCCTGGATAGGCACAATGTAAAAACAAGGTTTGAAGCTGGATAGGTGGGTTGGAGAGAGAGGACAGAAGGAGGGAGCCCTCCTGGGTCTTCTTTCTCAGTGTCTCAGATCTTTGGCCTCTTCCGCCAGCAATTTCTGGTTTTGTTTCTGATTTTGAGCAGTTTTGGTTGCATATTAGGAATGAGTAGGTCTTTTTCAGGCTGATAGGATGTCCTGAGTGGTGTCTCATGGAGTCAGTGCTGGGACCTCATCTCTTTACAATTTAGAGACATGGTTTGGATGAAGGAGCCAAGGTATGGGAGCTAAATTTGCTGATGACACAAAAATAGTTCAGAAAGTGATTGTGAAGAGGAAATCAAGAGTCTACAAAGGGATACAGATAGGTTAAGTGAGTGGGCAAAGTTCTGGCACATGGAATACAATGTGGGAAAGTGTGAAATTGTTTATTTTAGCAGAAAAAATATTTTTAAAAACAGCATATTATCTAATTGGTGTGAGGATGCAGAGGGATCTGGGTGTTCTAGCATATGAATCACAGAAAGTTCATCTGCAGGTACAGCAAGTAATCAGAAAAACTCATAAAATGTTATGTTTTATTGTGACGGGAATTGAATATAAAAATAGGGAGGTGATGCTTCAGGTATACAGAGTATTGGTGAGACTAAGGTGACTGACCTCCAACAACCACAATCATCTTCCTTTGTGCCAGAAATGACAAAACTGAGATCGCCCCCAGGTTTCCATTGATTCCAATTTTGCTACAGATCCTTGATGTCACACTCGGTCGAGTGCAGCCTTGATATCAAGGGCTGTCACTCTCACCTCATCTCTGGAATTCAGCCCTATGTCCATGTTTGAACCAAGGCTGTAACGAGGTCAGGAGCTGAGTGGCCCTGGCAGAACCCAAAGTGGGCATCACTAAGCAGGTTATTGCTGAGCAAGTGCTGGCTTGATAGTGCTGTTACTGACACCTTCCAGCAGTTTACTGATGATCGAGAGTAGACTGATGGGGCGGTAATTGGCCGGGTTGGATTTGTCCTGCTTTTTGTGTATAGGACATTACTGGGCATTTTTCCATGTTGTCAGGTAGACACCAATGTAATAACTGTACTGGAACAGCTTGGCTAGGGGAGCGGCCAAGTTCTGGAGCACAAATCTTCAGTATTATTGCCGAAATGTTGTCAGGGCCCATAGCCTTTACAGTACCCAGTGTCTTCAGTCATTCAGCAGTGGATGTGGTATATATGGATTTCAGCAAGGCATTTGATAAGGTTCCACATGGTAGGCTCATTCAGAAAATAAGGAGGCATAGGTTTCAGGAAATTTGGCTGTCTGGGTACAAAACTGGCTGTCAAATAGAAGACAATAGAAGAAAGTATTCAGCCTGGAGCTTGGTGACCAGTGGTGTTCCGCAGGGATCTGTTCTGGAACCTCTGCTATTTGTGATCTTTATAAATGACTTAGATGAAGAAGTGGAAGGGTGGGTTAGAAAGACAACCAGGTGTAGAGCTGGATGAACACAGCAGCCCAAGCAGCATCATAGGAGCAGGAAGGCTGACGTTTCGAGCCTAGACCCTTCATCAGAAAATAGTAAGTAAGTTTGTTAGTTTGTAAGTAAGTTAGTAAGTTTGCCGATGACACGATGGTTGGTGGAGTTATGAACAGTGTGGAGGGCTGTTGTAGGTTGCAACGGGACATTGACAGGATGCGGAGCTGGGCAAAGAAGTGGCAAATGGAATTCAACCCGGCAAAGTGTGAAGTGATTCATTTTGGAAGTTCGACTTTGAATGCAGAATACAGGGTAAATGGCAGGATTCTCGGCAGTGTAGAGGAACAGAGGGATCTTGGGGTCCACGTCCATAGATCCCTCAAAGTTGCTACCCAAGTTGATAGGGTTGTAAAGGCGGCGAATGGTCTGTTGGCTTTCATTGGCAGGGGGATTGAGTTTAAGAGCCGCGAGGTTATGGTGCAGCTCTATAAAACTCTGGTTAGACCACACTTGGAATATTGTGTTCAGTTCTGGTCACCTCATTATAGGAAAGATGTGGAAGCTTTAGAGAGGGTGCAGAGGAGATTTACCAGGATGCTGCCTGGACTGGAGGGCAGGTCTTAAGAGGAAAGGTTGAGGGAGCTAGGGCTTTTTTCATTGGAGCAATGATGGATAGGAGTTGACTTGATAGAGGTGTACAAGGTGATGAGAGGCATAGATAAAGTGGATAGTCAGAGACGTTTTCCCTAGGTGGAATTGACTATTATGAAGGGGCATAATTTTAAGGTGATTGGAGGAAGGTATCGGGAAGATGTCAGAGGTAGGTTCTTTACATAGAGAGTGGTGGGTGTGTGGAATGCGCTGCTGGCAGTGGTAGTGGAGTCAGATACTTTAGAGACTTTTAAACGACTCTTGGATAGGCCCATGGAGGATAGTAAAATGTAGGGTATGCAGGGTAGATTGATCTTAATGGGATAATAGGTCGGCACAACATCATGGGCAGAAGGGCCTGTATTGTTCTATGTTCTATGTTTAATGCTAAGAAAATGGATGCTTTAACAACCAAATTGTTGTCACATACATCTTCTTCTCTCTAACTGTCCAGGGGATCCATCTAATGTATGTGTGTTCCAAGGCAATCTGGATGAGGTCAGATCTGGGTTGCTCTCTTAGCCAGGGTCCCATGACTGCAACAGCTGAATAAGTTGATAAACAGCTGATTGGCTTGATGCCTTGTTAATGAGGCAGGAGAAATAGGTCCTTCACCTTCCCCATACGTCACTGTCCTTGATGAGTTTTGGAGATACGCTGTTCCATTTCAATAGACTGGAATGTGCAATGTACAGAGATGCACACTGGGACGGCTATCATTGGCTGCATGTGCACAGTTACCTTTAATGTATGGTTTAAAAGTTCCACTTTATAAAAGTTCAGTTTTGGTTTCCAGCTGGATTAAAAATCATTGTTTGAAACAAAGGATGTTTTCATGATCATTTGACTGTTCATGCAGACATCTTTCTAAGAAAGAAATCTATCATACTAATGACCCATGATTTAATCAGTTCTCTACATTTCCACTCTTAATTCATTTTTGTTTCAGATCTTGACCTGAAATTATTCTGCTGTTCCTTCAGTATTGCTGGATTAAAATCCTAGAACATCCTTCCTAAAGAAATGTGGCTGTCCCTACACCACATGGACTGCAGTAGTTTAAGAAGGCAGCTCACAACCATCTTCTGAAGGATAATTAGAAATAGGCAACAAACACTGGCCTTACCAGTACAATAATAACTCTAACGAATGAACTTTTTTTAAAAAAACAGGTCTCTTGTTCTTTATTTCTTTCATAGCCAAGAAATCCAGGTTGAAACAAAGAAGTAACATAACTGAACTGATTATAACTCCCAACAGATGGTGAGGTTGTGGTAAATGCATTCCACTGGCTCATTGACAGTGCAATAACATTCAAACTGAACATTGATAAGATCCAATAAAACATTTTGCAATATAATCTTTGATGAAATACTGCTTGGAGTTTAGACTTTCACTCATCTTTTGTGATAACTCTCAGTGGTACAACAGTAACTATTTTAACAGATGAGTGGCTAATCTTTCTGATTATTTTTCCATTCATGGCAGCATACGACTGCTAAAAAGAATCTAACTCACACTTTGATACAATGTTTCTTCCTTTATTGTAATGCTTTAAACTTAAAAAGAATGACATCTTATCGGCAGCACAATGGAAAAATGAATAATTTCAGCCATGTTTAGGCTCAGGCATGTTTGTGTTGTCATTCTGATAAAGACATCACTGGCCTGAAAACTGATTCTCTCTCTACAGATGCCCCAAGACATGCTCAGTATTTTCAAAATCTTCTGTTTGATTACATTTTTGAGAACAGGCATAATCTGGAGAGTGTTTTTCTTCAATCTGGAGAAATAAATTTCAACTCATCTGATATTTTCTAAAAGCTTTCATCACAAAATTACATTTATCCATGTCAGAGTTTGCTAAATACAAAGTATACTTAAAAAAAAGTACAATTTTCAAGCCCAAAGTACTGCAGGTGCTGGAAATTTTAAATCAGAACAGAAAGTATTGCAGAAACTCAGCAGATCTGGCAGCATCTGTGGAGCAAGAAACAGAGTTAACGTTTCAAGTCTGCAATGATTCTTCTTCAGAACTGCACATCTTCGGAAGAAGTCATACCGGATTTGAAATATTAACTCGGTTTTTCTCTCCACAGATGCTGCCCGACCTGCTGAATTCCTCCAACACTTTCTGTTTCTAATTCTGAAGCCATTAACTTATTCATAGAAAAGAAGGTAAGGCAAGGTGCTTTGAGCTTTAATATAAATGGAAAATTAAAGAACAATACCTAAAATTGCTGGAAAGACTCAGCAGATCTTGCAGCATCTGGGGAAAGAAATCAGGGTTAACATTTTGGGTGCAGTGACCCTTCCTCAACTTCAGAACTTTAGAAAATGATGGAAGATCATCAACCCAAAAGTTCACCCTGTTTAATCCCTTCTCCAGACACTGCCAGGCCTGCTGAAAATATCCAGTATTTGTCTTAAATTCAGGTTTCCAACATTTGAAGTTTTCTACTTTTCTTTTGAATTTATGCAGATGGTAACATGCAATACCACAAAGTATGCTTGTTACAAGACTGGTAGTAATAGAAATAGGTGGCAATATGAATTATGGATTCCTATGACCTGACAATATTAAAGAGATGGTTACTTTACATTAATATTGTTAATGCTGTGGAACATTTTGCTCATGTATGAATCTGGCTGCAGCAAAACAATTTGCATGTTTGCATTATACGATATTTCATAAGTAAGTTTGGTCACCACAGGCATGTTGCAACAAATGGCCTGCTCTTGTACTTAAAATCTCAATTAGTCTGAGGGTGGGCCTGAATGTCAAAGGCAATGAATGTCAGGAAAATTGAGAAGGTAATCTGTCCCAACAAGTCATTCACTCACTTTGAATTTTACCCTGTGTCTTTTAAAACATGAAAAATTACACAGTACAGGATGGGACGTTTCCCTCATGTACTATGAAGGAAATGCATTCTTCCCTGTACTTATTTACTATTCTCCTAACACCTTTAATTTGAATTGGGAGGTGACAATTATACAAAGATGAAATGCCTCAGCAATCTGGCTCTTGAAACACAGCCAATTCATTTCCATTTATACACATCTTATTGTCTGGTTTGTTCTTTGTTTGGATTTTTTGCATCTGGAGCTTTGGAAAAGGTTATCATTAGCAATTGCCCCATTGATGGATAAATCAGAAAAATATCAGAATCTATGCTAAAATCAGAAACTAGAAATAGAGACACATGAGTATGAATATGGATTCTAAAATTTCCTGGGTCTCCCTGAGCCTGCATTTCAGACTGATGTAGAGTATGAAAGCTCTGAAACACCCCTCCTGTAAGTTATTAGAGGTCAATGATAAGGTTTGTTTGATCATTCATAAGTCATGCTTCTTCACACGGAAAACTGACTAGTCCCACTAGAGATGTTTGTGGTATTGCAAGTCTTTACAGACCTCACAAATTGAATGTCAATTTAAGACATAGTAACAGGAATGATGCCAAACAGGTGCACAAAACTCCTTCAAAAAATGAAGTGTTCCAGACAAAAAAATAAATGTACATTACACAACATCTTCCATAAATGTGATAACAGATGATAAATGATGATGAAAACATTTCTAAAAGCAATCAGAAAGTTTATTCAAAGACCTTCACATTATTACAAAGTTAGTATGAAAGGAGAGAAGTATTTTACTTCGAATTATTCATATTAACTCATTGCAGAGAGGGAGCCTGAGGCTGAGGCATATGGATGATCGGACTGCACATTGCATTTGAGGGAGATGGTAGCTGAGTGCCAATTCACTGGACATGTCATCCAGCAGCCATGGGTTCAAATCCCACCACAAAGGCTGGGCATGATTCATATCCAGTTATTATACCTGGAACTGAAAGCATGTCACAAAAAGTGATCATGGATTGTGACAAAAGCCCATCTGGTTTCCTGGTGCCCTGTAGGGAAAGAAATCTGCCATCCTTACTCTGTGCGGTTTACGTGTGACTGCAGACCCACAATAAAGATGCTGACTCAAACGGCCCTCTGAAATGATTGAGCGCGCAACTCAATTCAAGGGTAATCGGGTAATCAGGCCACAGATGCTGGGCTTGTCAGCAAGGTCCACACCCCATGAAAGAATAAAATTCCTGAGGCCCAGAGCATCCACTGTCCTTATACAAACTCTGGGTTGACTCTGGAAGAAAACATTCTTGGGCTGGTAATGGACGCCCAGAAGAATGGTTTCCAGCAGAATGTAATTTGATTACAGTGTTCCAACAAAGGAATCCCAATCAGGGGGTAGGGGGTGGGCAAACAGGATTCACCCATGGGAGGCATATTACTTTGTCTCCAGCAATTTCAATCTGGAGTTGGCTGAATTGGGGCAGGGAATGACGGGTCAGTTCCCCATTCTGGTTAGCAGCAGAAATCCTATCGGTCCAAGTACACTTTACACAGTTGATAAGGCTCATTTCTAGACAGCACGTCTAACTGGATCATATGAAACCAAAATAAGGCAGATATATTCTGATGGAAGATCATGGCCCTTAAACTTTTTGTCCCTCCACTGATACTGCCCTATCAGCTGAATTTTTGCTATTTTCTGTATTTATACATGATCAGAACTCCCTGTTTGGGCACCTATTCATCCATGTGAACTTGTATTTCCCAGTCTTCAAGAAATTTACAACCCTCCATCGTAGCATTTGTCTGCAATGTTTGTAAAAATGATGCATCTGTTTGTTGGCCTGTCCTCTTTGATGAATGGTAAGTTAAAAGCTGCCGTTTGTATCCAGCATTCCATTCAGGATTGACAAGTAGCTCTCCAGTGAATGTGTCATTCTTCAATGGGTTAGTCTTTGTTACTTGTTCATCTTTCAGGTCAGTTTGTAACACATCCGTTAAGGAAGGCTTTACTGGTTGATCATCGATTCTGTCAGAGTGCAAACACAGAACATCTACATTGTTGTTTAACAATGATAAAAATGACTGGCTGTTGATTGGTTGCCCATTTTGGAACAATGGCATGTTGATTTGGTTTTCATCTTTCAATGAAAGTGACAATGGCATTTCCAGTTGCTGGATCTCCTTCCATTTAGTTTGATATGATGGTTGTTTGTCATGAAGCAACGAGACAAATGATGGCAAATGTGCTGGCTTCTCCTCTTTTACTTTTAATATCTGCATTTCTAATTCTTGGCCATTTTGGAATATTAGGCCCTTGTTTTTATAAACAATGTCTTCATTCATTGTCTGTAAAGCATTTACAGACACATTCTGCGCACTGCATATTGTTGGGTCAGTGTTTATCTTGGTTGAACTCTGAGGTGTCACATGTATAATTGTAGCATAATTTTGAGTCAGTGCCTGTGAGCTATTCTGACTGGAACATGTATCATTTGACATCCTGTCAGCAGCCTGGGGACAGTACAATGCAAAACATCCATCATCAGTTGTCTTGGAGGAAGAGTTACTTTGAATTTCACAATCAGTGTAGCTTGGGAGGTTTGTCTGCATTATTCTGGCATGACTTTGCGGTGCATAGGAATTTGGCTGTGTTATCAAGCTGTGCTGCTTTGTTTTTATAACTTCTTCCATTTTATTGGAGTTATACTTTAACAGATTTATTTCATTCAGATGAACAAGTTGCTCAAATTTAAATGATTCTTTCTTATAACTAGGGGCCAGCTGTAGTGTTGGTGGAGGTTGTTTCAACAAGGCACACTTCTGTGAGAGGATGCGATCTAAATTCTGTAATTAAGAAAAATACAAATGAACTAAATGTTAGTTGGATATCCTGCAATAGTTTAGAAAAATGTAGGTCAGTAAGCAAATATTTGGAAGAAATATTATGCTGAAAATTTCCCGCAGAAAGTTATGTCTTGTGGAAGAGCGATGCTTTCTTCTGGCTCTATAATATTCTCTGCTGCAAACCCATGACACCTATTCTTGGTGCACAGAAGGAGCAGCATAGCTGGCACATTAAGTGGCTCTCAGTGCAGGAGCATGGATTAGCCTCATCCATTGTCTAAATTCTGACATTGGAGCAAGAATAAAATCAAGCAACTAATTCTGCAAACTGCAGCCTGCAAGGGGGTGGGAGGGGAGAACTTTGTGTAGAAGCTAAGAATGTTGCAGAAACTCAGCAGGTCATAGAGTCATGCAGATATACAGCATGGAAACAGGCCCTTCGGCCCAACTCATCCAAGCCAACAAAATTTCCTAAACTGAAGTGGTCCCATTTGTCAGCATTTGGCCCATATCCCTCTAGACCCTCCTTACTCATGTACCCATCCAGATGTACCAGCCTCTATCACTTCCTCTGGGAGCTCATTCTACACGTGCACCACGTACTGTGTGAAAATGTTGCCCCCTCAGGTTCCTTTTATACCTTTCCCCTTTCAACATATGCCCTCTAGTTTTGGACTCCCCTACCCCAGGGAAAAGACCTCGGATATTTACCCTATCCATGCCCCTCATGATTTTGTAAACCTCTATAAGGTCACCTATCAGCCTCCTACACTCCAGGGAGAAACGTTCCAGCTTATCCAGCCTCTCCTTATATCTCAAAGCTTCCATTTTCAGTGACATCCTTGCAAATCTTTTTTGCACCCTTTCAGTTTATTAATATCCTTCCGAGAGCAGGGTGATCAGTATCTTCAGAGTTTTGAAGAACAGTCATATTATACATGAAACATTAATTCTGTTTCTCTCTGCACAAATGCTGCCAGACCTGCTGAGTTTCTCCCACACTTTCTGATAATACTTTGTAGTTTCAATCATCAAAACTTTATGGGCAACCTATACTCAGTGCACAACTCTGTAAGATCACCAAAATAGCAAGATTTAGCTGCTGAGATATTCAACAGCTGACAGATTATGAAAGGAAAATGGTGGCAAATGTTTCATTTGGCTGTTCGAATTCAGCCATCTATTGCTCAAAGAATGTAATTAGTTTAACCTTGAGTCATAGCTCACGTGCTCATTCTGGTATTAATTGTACTTATTTAGTAAAACCTCTTTCGTTTTGTATTCAGTGGGATAAAATTATGGAGAGCTCCTGAAATGGTCTGGAAACTGAGACGTGGTTCAAAACATTTATACTTCTATAAAAGAACATCTACTGGCTCTTTACAGTATTAAAATTTATGACGGACTATGAATGTAATCCTGCACCTAATCCAGATCTTCGTGATCTTGGTGTAGGAAATCCTTTCACTGAATTTCAAAAGACTGTGGAAATAACAGCTCCTGACAGAGTCCAAGAAGCCACTTCTTTCAAATATAACTAAATTAGGAGTTGATGGGTGATCTAATTGAGATGTTTAAAGGAGTAAAAAGTTTTGATAGGACAGATATATAGAAACCACATCCTCTGACGGACATAATGCAGGTGTCCCTGAAGCCTGAGGACTATAGCAATTCACAAAGGCAGCTCATCACCACCTTCTCAAGGGCAACTAGGGATGAGCATAAAATGACGGCCCAGCCAGAGACACCCAATCATATGGATAAAGAAAAACTTTGAACTTAGAAGGAGACCATTCACGAGTGAAATCAGGAAATAATTTTTTATACAAAGGATGGTGGAAATTTAGAACTCACTTTCCGAGAGGCTGTGAATGTGAAGACAAGTGAAACAACACTACTGAGGACGGTAGGTTTTAGTAAGAAGTTATCTCTGGGGCAAAGCTGGTTAAATGATGCTTAGCTGTTGAACACTGCAGAATCGTTTTGAACCGCGAAATAGGCCTGAGGAGTTGATAGCCTCCTCTACTTCCCCATGTTATCATGTCACCTACTTCCAGAGTACAAAAGCACTGGTCAGCTCTCGATAAATATAAACTGAACATACCAAAGACTGCGGCAATGTCCTCTGGTGCTTTGTGTAACTGTATATCACACAACTAAATATTCCGGTAATTATTATTCCAAAGGACACAAACGTCACTAACAGAATGATGGTCAGTGTTCTTTCTGCAAAAGTAAAACAAAATTAATGAATTTCTGTACCACAGGAAACTATTTTGTGATTTCAATGTGTCCACTCATGTAGTCAATTCTTTGCTCCTTCAGTGAAAAGCAAAAAGTACACACAGCTCTGGAAAGAGATATATAATTGATCTGTTAGACAGTTTATAAAGTTTATCTGCATGGATCTAGAATTTACGGCTTTTTTTAAGACAGTACAATTGGCTTCTTTCACTTACCTGTTAAATCAATTTTAGTTTTTAATCACATTTTCAGGTTTTCTAGGCTAAGAGCCATTCTCCACTGAAGCACATAAATTGGCAATGGACAGATCTTGGTCCATTGTGTGGTTGAAGCTGAGATCAATAAATTCTTAGAGACTTTTAAACGACTCTTAGATAGGCACATGGAGGATAATAGGTCAGCACAACATCGTGGGCCAAAGGGCCTGTACTGTGGTGTACTGTTCTATGTTCTATGCTTGATCCGTCAGGGAATCAAGGGTTACAGGGAAAGGGCAGGAAGGTGGATGTAAGGAATGTTGGATCAGCCATGATTCTATTGAATGGTGCAGCAGGCTCAAGGGGCCAAATGGCCTACTCCTGATCTTATTTCTTGTGGTCTTATAGTGTGTTCCCTCCACAAACAGAGGCTCATCAAAGTGGCCTCTAATCACTTAATTCATCCCTATCTCTACCGTATCTCTTTCAAGTGTTTAACAACTCCTCTAAAGGGACTGCAGAATCCAGAAAAATGGAGAAATTGTTGCTGCTACTGACACATTCATTTGTTGTATCAGTTTCATGTTAGAATTGGGCATGTAGTCAATGAAAAGCTGTCTCACTAAATCCCTTTTCACAATTTATGATTCTAAATGGTGGCTCTGTGCTTAGCACTGCTGCCTTACAGCGCCAGGGACCAATGTATGATTCCACCCACGGGCAACTGTCTGAGTTTGCACATTCTCCCCGTGTCTGTGTGGGTTTACTTCGGGTGCTCTGGTTTCCTCCCACAGTCCAAAGATGTGCAGGTTAGTTGGATTGGCCATGCTAAATTGCCTGTAGTATCCAGGGATGTGCAGGCTAGATGGATTGGCTATGGGAAATACGGAGTTACAGGGATAGGGTAGTGGGGTCATTCTGGGTGGATGCTTTCCAGAGGAGTGGTGTAGACTCGATGGGCCAAATGGCCTGCTTCCACACTGTAGGGATTCTATGAAACACAGGCAGACGAGATGCCCCATCTAATGAAGGAAACTTATGCAAACTGGGGACTTATTTAGAACTCCAACAAGATCCTGATTCAATTGTGATAAGGTGGTGGATTGGAATCCTGTAAGTATGTTTCCTTTACGAACTTATTTTCGGTCTTGTGTATCAGAAGGTCTGGATTTTAGTCCCGCCTGCCCCAGATCTGTGACAGAACATTTCTGACCAGGTTGATTAAAATAATTATTTGAATCAGGGCCTTAGCAAAAAGGCTCCTGTTACCTCTTTGTCAAGCTGCAACAGATTGGGAACTCACCTGCACACAGACAGTACATTTAAAATGTTGCTTTGTGTGGGCAGGAGTTGAAGCGTAACTCACACAATCCTTCCACAAACATTCTCACCTTTTAAAGTTCGGATGCAAAAATTGGCCGGTTGACTTTTTCTTGAGAAGATTTCCTGTCTTAAGCTAAGTTGCACACTGGCACAGTATTTTGTATTGGGCTCCAAAGATTCGATTTTGAAATATCTGCTTTCATTAAATGCATAAAATACCTGAAAAATAATAAAACGACATTTAAATGCACACCCAGATTATCAACATGTGATCTCCTAACATTGCTGTTTAAGTTTAACTAAAATGGCACCATACTTTACCATTTTATTTGTTTGTGATTGGTTGAGCTGCACTTGATACTTAATGACAGTAAAAATGTCCTTGATAGAGCGTTGTATTCCACCTTTGGGTGGCACTTGTGGTGGCTGTACCTGAATAGTAATAAATCGGTCTCCTGCTGTGTACTCCACTGCTGGGGATCCAATAATAGCTGAGAAAGACAGAGAAGTTTATATCAGAACAGAAAATATTTAAAACGCAGAGTGCATATGTATCCAAAAGTGGAAAGAGCTCATTTTAAAGGTGACAGTATGAATCATCCATTGATATGTTTGAATTCATGTGAAACTGTAACCAATAAACTAATTAAATGATAGGATGCTTCCTTGCATAGATGCCATAATGAAGGCACATTTGCATCGGAATACGTTATTTCCAAAAATACATTTTTGTTTGGTTCCAGAGATGAAAACCAGGAATGTAGGTTTTGTATTACGGGCAGAAAACTTACTACAATGTAAGGGAAAATACTAAGCTGGAAGATAATCCTTGTCTTTAAGGAGGCAAAACAGATAAGCAGGCTATTTAACTTCAACTCTGAAGGCTAGCTGAATTAGATCTAAGACTAACCAGTGAAAACAAGTTATTTATAGATATTTTACAACTGGTGGGGGAATATGTAAAAATACATCGACGTTCACTAAGCTCATTCAAAAATCAAACAAAGTGGTTGAAAATATAATCAACAATTTTTTTTACGGCACAAGTGGACAGATTCTTGATTACCAAGGGGATGGAAGAATATTGGGATATGCGAGATTGTAGGGTTGAGGTTAAAATCAGATTAGCCATGATCTTATTGAATAGCAGAGCAGGCTTGCAGAGCTGAGTGGCCTAGCCAAGTTCATATGTTTGTATCTTAAAACTGGCTTAGGAAAGGAGTGACTACATTTATCAAATAATCTACAGAGCACAAGTTTCTCAGGTTGTTGGAATGAAGCAATAAATTGCAATTAGAGAAGCAGACTGTCAGTGTTCAACTGTGACAATGTTGGGTGGATCAATATTTCAGAATTTTGTTTGAATATCTTTGGGGCTCCAGATTTACCATATTTATTCACAGGGTTTGGAAATTGCACCATATATTGTCCATCCTAACTTATTCCGAAGAAAGTGGTAAGCTGCCTTCTTGAACCACTGCAGTCTACCTGGTGCAGGCATACCACAGTGTTGTTAGGAAGTGAATTCCATGATTTTGACCCAGTGACATCGAAGGAACGGTGATATATTTCCAAGTCAGGATGGTGACTGGCTTGGAGGGGAACTTGTAAGGGGTGGTGTTCCCATGTATCTGCTGCCCTTGATATTCTGGGTGGTCAGGGTATGGAAAGGGTGGTCATATGCTGCATACAACCATCCAACAGGACACTATATTGATGAAGCTAGTACAATGGTAAGAGCAAATATTAATGGTGGCTGAAGCAGGTTGATGGCTAAGCAACAATTTCCAGCTTTTGTGTGTTCTTTACAGTCTATTTCAACTGTTGTTTCAGCACTGATTAATGAAATGCTGTTGAAGAAGATTCAAGCTACTAATCTCTATATGACGATTGTATACTCACTCTTGTCTAATGGACAGAATCTTTCAGATAAGGACCACGTTGAATTGATATTTTTTGATACTGCCATCACTCTTGCATAGTACCAGTTATTCTCCTGCACAATTTCATTTGTTAAGTCACAATATTGGGCAGTGATATGATGACATTCAGGCTTATTTTTCCATACTTTGTCTCCATAGCTGCAAACAAAATGTAGTGTGTTAGAAAGCAAAAACGTGGGCTAATCTCCTCAATTCAAAACTGCTTAATCCAATAAATGTCACAAATCTGTTTGACTTCTGTAATGCTAAATTAACAAATGTGAAATTGTGAATATGGTAAATCTGGAGCCCCAAAGATATTCAAACAAAATTCTGAAATATTGATCCACCCAACATTGTCACAGTTGAACACTGACAAGTCTGCTTCTCTAATTGCAATTTATTGCTTCATTCCAACAACCTGAGAAACTTGTGCTCTGTAGATTATTTGATAAATGTAGTCACTCCTTTCCTAAGCCACCCAAATCAACCCTATATACTCTACAGTGAGGCCAGAGAAACCTTCATATTTTTGTGCTCAAAGCAGTCTTTTAAATCCCTAAATTTGTTGTGCTGGTTATGCTGGATCAATGTAAAACACTGGTTAGGCCATAACTAGGGTACCGCATGCAGATCTAGTCACCATATGATAGAAAGGCTGCGATTGCAATAGAGAGGTTACAGAGGAGATTTACCAGGATGCTGCCTGGGCTGGAGGCTCTGAGTTATGAGGAAAGGTTGAATCAGCTGGGGTTGTTTTCATTAGGGCAGTAAGATTGAGAAAGGACCTAATAGGTGTGCATAGATAGAAAGGTATGTTTTCTATCGTTTCAGTTGTCATTAACCAAGGGCAGAGATTTAAGACAAGAGGAAGAAGGTTAGGAGGAGAGTTAAGGAGATTTTTTTTCACCCAGAGGGTAGTGGGAGTCTGGAACTCACTGCCTGAAAGTGTGGTTGAGTCCGAAACTCAACATTTAAGTAGTATTTTGATATTTACTTGTGTTGCCATAACCACCAGGACTATGGGCCAGAAGCTGGAAAATCGGATTAGTGTGGTCAGAGACAACAAGGTGCAAGGCTGGATGAACACAGCAGGCCAAGCAGCATCATAGGAGCAGAGAGGCTGACGTTTCGGGCCTAGACCCTTCATCAGAAAAGGGGGAGGGGAAGGGGGTTTTGAAATAAATAGGGAGAGAGTGGGAGGCGGATAGAAGAGGGATAGAGGAGAGGATAGGTGGAGAAGAAACAAACAGGTCGAAGAGGCGGGGATGGGGCCAGGAAAGGTGAGTGTAGGTAGGGAGTTAGGAAGGGGATAGGTCAGTCCAGGGAGGACTGCCCGCTTCTATCTCCTTCCCAAAATCCACAAACCTGAATGCCCTGGTCGACCCATTGTCTCCGCCTGCTCCTGCCCCACCGAACTGATCTCCAACTATCTCGACTCCATTTTCTCCCCCTTGGTCCAGGAACTCCCTACCGATGTCCATGACACCACCCACGCCCTCCACCTCCTCCAGAACTTCCAATTCCCCGGTCCCCAACACCTCATCTTTACCATGGACGTCCAGTCCCTCTACACCTGCATTCCCATGCAGATGGCCTTAAGGCCCTCCGCTTCTTCCTGTCCCGCAGGCCCGACCAGTCCCCCTCCACTGGCACCCTCATCCGCTTAGCCGAACTCGTCCTCACACTCAACAACTTCTCTTTCAATTCCTCCCACTTCCTACAGACAAAGGGGGTAGCCATGGGTACCCGCATGGGCCCAAGCTACGCCTGCCTCTTTGTAGGTTACGTGGAACAATCCCTCTTCCGTACCTACACTGGCCCTAAACCCCACCTCTTCCTCCGTTACATTGATGACTGTATCGGCGCCGCCTCGTGCTCCCACGAGGAGCTCGAACAGTTCATACACTTCACTAACACCTTCCACCCCAACCTTAAGTTTACCTGGACCATCTCTAACACCTCTCTCCCCTTCCTGGACCTCTCTGTCTCCATATCGGGCAACCACCTAGAAACCGATATTCATTTCAAGCCCACCGACTCCCACAGCAACCTAGAATACTCCTCCTCCCACCCACCTTCCTGCAAAAATGCTATCCCCTATTCCCAATTCCTTCGACTCCGCCGCATCTGCTCCCAGGATGAGGCATTCCACTCCCGTACATCTCAGTTGTCCTCGTTTTTCAAGGACCGTAACTTCCCCTCCTCGGTGGTCGAGAACGCCCTCAACCGTGTCTCCCACATCTCCCGCACCTCATCCCTCACACCCCGTCCACGCAATAAGAACCAAAAAAGAATCCCCCTCGTCCTCACGTACCACCCCACCAACCTCCGGATCCAACGCATCATCCTCCGACACTTCCGCCATCTGCAATCCGACCCCACCACCAAAGACATCTTTCCCTCCCCACCTTTATCTGCTTTCCGGAGGGACAACTCTCTCCGTGACTCCCTCGTCCGCTCCACACTCCCCTCCAGCTCCACCACACCCGGCACTTTTCCCTGCAACCGCAGGAAGTGCTACACCTGCCCCCATACCTCCTCCCTCACCCCCATCCCAGGCCCCAAGAAGACTTTCCACATCAAGCAGATGTTCACCTGCACATCTGCCAATGTGGTATACTGCATCCGCTGTACCCGGTGTGGCTTCCTCTACATCGGGGAAACCAAGCGGAGACTCGGGGACCGCTTTGCAGAACACCTACGCTCGGTTCGCAACAAACAACTGCACCTCCCAGTCGCGAACCATTTCAACTCCCCCTCCCATTCCTCAGACGACATGTCCATCCTGGGCCTCCTGCAGTGCCACAACGATGCCACCCGAAGGTTGCAGGAACAGCAACTCATATTCCGCTTGGGAACCCTGCAGCCCAATGGTATCAATGTGGATTTCACAAGTTTCAAAATCTCCCCTCCCCCCACCGCATCCCAAAACCAGTCCAACTCGTCCCTGCCTCCCTAACCTGTTCTTCCTCCCACCTATCCCCTCCTCCCACCTCAAGCCGCACCTCCATCTCCTACCGACCAACCTCATCCCGCCCCCTTGACCTGTCCGTCCTCCCTGGACTGACCTATCCCCTTCCTAACTCCCTACCTACACTCACCTTTCCTGGCCCCATCCCCGCCTCTTCGACCTGTTTGTTTCTTCTCCACCTATCCTCTCCTCTATCCCTCTTCTATCCGCCTCCCACTCTCTCCCTATTTATTTCAAAACCCCCTTCCCCTCCCCCTTTTCTGATGAAGGGTCTAGGCCCGAAACGTCAGCCTCTCTGCTCCTATGATGCTGCTTGGCCTGCTGTGTTCATCCAGCCTTGCACCTTGTTGTCTCGGATTCTCCAGCATCTGCAGTTCCTACTATCTCTTAGTGTGGTCAGATCTTTGTTGACTGGTACAGGATCAATGAGCTAAATGGCATCCTTCTCTGTTGTAAATGTCTATATTCAAGATAAAGGTTGATAGATTTTTGGGTTGTAAGGGATGTAGGAAAAGCACTGGAAGGTGGATTTGAAGTAGATCATGATCTAACTGAACAGCAGAGCAAACTCATACACACTGAAGGAAGAATTAGAAGTTTAGGAGAGTGAAAGGTGATCTTATGTTGGATTCTAAAGGGGCTTGATAGGATAAATACTGAGAAGATATTTCTCCTCATAGGAGAGTCCAGGACCAGAGGGCATAGTCTCAGAATAAAGGGACACCAATTTTAGACTGAGTTGAAGAGGAATTTCTACTCTCAGAGGGTTGAGAGTCTTGCCACAGAGCATTGTGGGGGCAGAGTTCTTGTGTATGTTTAAGGCTGAAACGGATAGATTTTTGATCTATAAGGGAATCAAGGGTTATGGGGACAACACAGGAAAGTGGACATGAGGAATGTCAGATCAACCATGGGTTGCAATGAATGATGGAGCATGGTCAAGGGGATGAATGGCCCACTCCTGTTCCTATGTCTTATGGTGTTATGGATAAAGCAGGGTTATGGTATAGCCTGTATTCTGGTATCTGAACAAGTCAATGAAATACAGTAGGGTACTAAATGTACTAGAGTGGAGAGGAATGTTATTTACTCCTAATACCATTTATAATGGGCATTAAGAAATATCGATGTCAGCAGTCTGTGAAGGTTTAAATCATATATTTTTATAGAGGGTAATAGATGGCATATGAGATACAAGATTTCAATTAGGTGCCCTGTCCAAATTCATTGTTCACATTTCCTCTTCTTTGTTCTTGCTGTAAGTGTTGTTATCAGAACTTACATGCAATACTCAACATCATACACAGTTTCTGGAGATCCTTTCTGAGTCCAGCGAAGGGTGTTGTTAAAGTTGACAGAATCGAACTCTACCCCAGTTGGTTCAGGCAACGTAACCAATGCCCAGGGCCCTACGAAAGGTGAAACAGTTTTAAAGTCCATAAACTTTAACCAATTCTGATCACTCAATGTTCCAAAATTTCATCTCCTTTTCTGGGATTTCAAGGAAGAAACCACATTGTTTAAAGGTCACCATGTGCTGAAGTTTGCTCTGATAGTAATCAATGTATTTTAATCCCCTTGCGAATGATTCTCGCAAGACTGGGATGAAGGTTAAAGACAAAATCCTGGGGATACTGGAAATCTGAAGCAAAAACCGAAAATGCTGGAGAAACTCAGTAGGTCTAGCAGCATCCGTGGAGAGAAAAAATACGACTTAACATTTCGAGTTCTGTTTGACTCTTCTTCAGAGACCTAAAGTTCTGAAAAGTCATACTAGGCTCAAAACATTGATTTTATTTCTCTCTCCAGAAATGTTGCCAGACCCGTAGAGTTGCTCCAGCACTTTCTGTTTTTATTTTAGGTTTGCAGCATCCACGGGACTTCTCTTTTCCTGGAGAGGGCAGTTTCCATTCAACCTACAGGATAATCAAACTGACTTCAGCCTGCAGGGTAGTTCCCAGAAGCAGCAGGACTGACTCAGCTTGACACCTGTTCGGAGGAAGCACTTTTCCACAGACACACAGACAGACACACAGACAGGCACACAGACAAGCACACAGACAGGCACACAGACAGGCACACAGACACACAGACAGACACACACAGACACACACACAGACAGACACACACACAGACAGACACACACAGACACAGACAGACACACACAAAGACAGACAGACAGACACACACACACAGACAGACACACACACACACACACAGACACACACACAGACAGACAGACACACACACACACAGAGACACACAGACACACACACACACAGACACACAGACACACACAGACAGACAGACAGACACACACACACAGACACACACAGACAGACAGACAGACACACACACACAGACACACAGACAGACACACACAGACACACACATACACAGACACACAGACACACACACACATGCACAGACACAGACACACAGACACACACAGACAGACAGACACACAGACAGACACACACACACACAAACACACGCAGACACAGACACACACAGGCAGACAGACAGACACACACACAGACACACACACACACAGACAGACACACACACACAGACAGACACACACACACAGACACACACAGACACACACACACGACACACAGACACACACAGAGACTCACACACACAGACACACACACACAGACAGACACAGACAGACACACAGACACACACAGACAGACACACACAGACACAGACAGACACACACAGACACAGACAGACACACACAGACACAGACAGACAGACAGACACACACATACACAGACACACACACAGACAGACACGTCTTTACATTCAAACGAAAAAAGGAACTTTTCAAAATGAAGCAGCCAATTTTTAAATCAAGAGTTAGTGTAACTTAATGAATGAAATTTCTCGAGGATATACTGCATCGTTAATAAGCAACAAACACAGCTGCCTCTTTTATTCACTAATCACAAAATTTCTCTTTTGTAGATGTACTTCACCCACAGGATTGCTATACGAATGAGCCTCACAAACTGGGGAAATTTTTGTTTTGGCCAGTTTGGTCACGCAGTTATATAGATACATTTATCAGGACATAGATACGACTTAAAATGTGCAAGATCAGATCCAGTAAACAGTGCCCTAAATAGTCTCCTAAAATAAAGCGACGATTAAACAAAAATGCATCATAGGATGTTTTAAAAATGTAAAATGCTCACCAGTAAATGAAACGGTTAGTAATAGGATCCGCCACAGCCACATCGTGCACTCGAACTCTCGCTTAAACAGGCTAAAAGATTAACTAATTTTAAATGTTCCGCTCAATCAGTCGAAGATCATTTTTGCAAAGCAACAAGTCTGGAACTATCCGGAGATGGAACCTGCTGCTTCTGGGAACTACCCTGCAGGCTGAAGTCTTGGTATTTGCAAAGCGGCTCCCACTTAAATGAAGCTGTGTACTTGTCTCTCTCCCTTGGAGCCTTGAAATTTACACGATTCTATCAATAAATGGGCACTAACAGGCAACATAGCCCTTCTCGGAAGCTGCCGGAGGCCTTGGTGAAAGACTCTGGACTTTCGCCTGGCTGGGTCCTTACCTCATGAACACAAGGATCTGACGAAGGACGGTGCAAACGGGAGAGACCAGAACTAGAATAAAAATTCATTACTTCCTTCTCTGTAACACGCCCTTTACAACAAACGTATAATTATTTCTGAACTCCTTCCTCTCCAATAGGAGCAACCCATTATTTTGGCTCGTAGGTAAATCAGGAATTCCACTTGACAGGAACCTTACACATATTGCAGCATGGGCAGACAGGAATTCAGAAATACTAAAGGCTTCGACAATTTGGAGAGGAAAGGGCAGGATCTCAAGCACCAAGTAACATCTAACAACGCATTTAGCAAGGGTGTGCCAAGATGCTAAATTAATGTAGAAAGGTCGAAATCCCTGTTCCAACGACTTTACATTTGTTTTAGCTAGTTTAGGATTTAGTCAGCGAGTACTCTCACGCCAGCCCCGTCCATCTTTCAAAACCCACGTACGTAACGCAATCCAGCAGCTCCGCAGAAATCGGAAGATAAATAACAATGGAGGGCTTTGATTTGAAAGACCAGGTCCTGGCGGAGGCAGCCGGGGCGTTAGAGGGAGAAGTGACCCCAAATAGATAAATACCTCCGCAGCAGGTCCGGAAGTTGGATTGAGGATTCTGGTGTCAATGCTGTAGAGTCTTTTGTAGCTTTGCAACTAGTGGCATCTGCCGGTGGACTTGCTTTGGCTGGAAATGTGTTTGTGTGGTAAGTGGTTAGCAATGGAGAGGGGCGATGGGGCAACAGGAGGACTGCACACTGACATGGCAAACAACAGTGTAGCTTCTCCTTCAGTCAGACTGAGGAAGAAATGCAATTTAACGTCGTCAGGTGCGGAAAGAGCATTAAGATGTGAAAGACTGGATTGACGGAAAATGATAAGTGGAAAGTAACATCAAAATTGACACGTTTAAAACCTTAAGAAATGAGACTCCAGGCTTGCAAACGTTAATTTCAGTGGCAGAAATACTGACTTTGTCGAAATGGGACTGTTAAGACCAGGTAAGAAGGGGTGAACCAGCTCCCCTGGGATGCCACAGCAAAGGTTTCAGTTACTTACAGTAGGAGGCTAGAGCCTTGCTTTAGTTAAAATACACTTAACTCATCGTTACTGTAAGCAGTAAGAAGTCAATCACAAGATTTTCTTAACTTAAATCATAGAACCAGGGAATGCCTGCAGTGTAGAAGCAGGCCATTCAGCTCATCGAGTCCACAGCGACCCCCTCCACAGAGCATCTCACCCAGATCCATCCCCTACCGTATACCATTTCTGAAGAAGGGTCTAGGCCCGAAACGTCAGCTTTCCTGCTCCTCTGATGCTGCTTGGCCTGCTGTGTTCATCCAGCTCTACACCTTGTTATCTCGTATACCTCTAACCGTGCATGGGCAATGGCTAACCCACCAAGCCTGTGCATCCTTGGAAAATTCTCTGCACATCTTTGGACTGTGGGAGGAAAACGATTATCCTGAGAAAACCCATGCAGACACGGGGAGAATGCGCAAACTCCACACATACAGTCGCCCGAGAGCGGAGTCTCCGGGTCTCTGTGCTGTGATGCAGCAGGGCTAACCGCTGTGCCACCGTGCGGCCCATTAAAAAACTTCAACAACTGCAACCCCAAGGAAAGTAATGACTTGTCCTTCGATGATTGAGAACTTAGGTATTACTGAATAAAGACATATTTGTCAAAGCTTTTCACTTGCACTCATCAAGACATTTCGCAAGAACACCAAATCAAGAAGAAAAAAAATGCTTATACTGCATGAGAGGACAGTGCCATTGGCTGGCAGTGTATTCTGACATTTTCTTTATTCATTCATGCGATGTGGGCATTGCTGGCTGAACCAGCATCTACTGTCTGTCCTTAATTGTCCTTCAGAAAGTGGTGACGAGGTCCATGTGCTTTAGGAAGATCCACAATGCCCGTAGGAAGGGAGTTCCAAGCCACACTGATGGAACGACGATATATTTCGAAGTCAGGACGGTGAAGGCCTGAGAGGGGAACTTGAAGGTGGTGGTGTTCCCAAGTTACTGCTGCCCTTGTCCTTCCAGATGGAAGTGATCATGGGTTTGGAAGGTATTGTTGAAGGATTTTTGGTGAATTTCTGCAGTACATCATTGTAGATAGTACACACTGCTGCAACTGAGCTTCGGTGGTGAAGGGAGTGGATGCTTGTGGATGTGGTGCCAATCAAGTGGGATTTGCCCTGGATGGTGTCAAGTTTCTCGAGTGTTGTTGGAGCTGCACCATCCAGGCAAGTGGGGAATATTCCATCACACTCCTGATTTGTGCCTTGTAGATGGTGCACAGGCTTTGCAGCAAGATGACGGTGGAGTAGGACGATCCAACCAGACCTCATCCACTCCGCCTATTCTTCTTTTCTTCTCTTTATCTTCCTCTCAGTGTTTTCTTGCATTTTTTTTTCTGTTCGACTCCCGCCTCCGGTAATGACCCCCAAACCCCGGCAAGCGACGACCCCCAACCTCTGGTGACGAACCCCACCCCCTGGCGAGAGATGACCCCCACCCTCCGGTGATGATTCCCGGCCTCCTCTGGCACAGCAGCCTCCTGCAGCTGCCTCCCTTTGTAATGTGTTGCTGCCATGGTGTGGAGCCAGGGCCCGGTGCAGACTGGAAGCTCAGTGTCAGTGTGGTCTGTTGTACTGAACTTTTGTTTCTATATTACTGAACATTTTATTTCTGTATTGTCTAAATCCTGTAACTAAAGAAGCTGTGCCCAGGTACGTTTGTATCCAAGGCGGTGATATAATTGGTGATGTATAAACTTTTCACTATACTCAGAGTGATCCTGGCAGAACCCAAACTGAGCGTCACTGAGCAGGTTATCGCTGACCAGGTGCTGCTTGATAACAGTATTGATGACACCTTCCATCACTTTGCTGATTATCGAGAGTACATCGATGGGACACTAATTGACCAGGTTGGAATTGTCCTGCTTTTCATGTACAGGACATGCTTGGGCAAATGTCCACATTATTGGGTAGATGCCAGTGTTGTAACTGTACTGGAACAGCTTGGCTAGGGGAGCAGCAAACTCTGGAGCACAAGACTTCAGTAGTATTACCATAATGCTGTCAAGGCCCATAGCCTTTGCAATATCCAGTGCCTCCAATTCATTCTGAATATACTTTGACTGATTTGAATTAATTGAAGTCTGGTATCTGTGATGATGCTTACCTCTGGAAGAGGCTGATGGATCATCCGCTTGCTATTTCTGGCTGAAGACTGCTGCAAAAGCTTCAGCCTTATCTTTTGCACTGATGAGCTTGGCTCTCCCATCATTGAGGATGGGGATATTTTTGCAGCCTCCTCCTCAAGTGAGTTGTTTGATTGTCCACCACCATTCACAATTGGATGTGGCAGGACTGCAGAGCTGAGATCTGATCTGCTTTGGAATTGTTTGGCTACGTCTATCACTCGCTGTTTATGCTATGTGGCATGCAAATATCTTCACACGCTTGACGTCTCATTTTTAGGCATACCCTCCTGCACCCTCCGTTGCACCAGGATTGATCCCTTGGCTTTAGGGTAGTGGTAGAGTCAGGGATATGCCAGGCCATGAGGTTACAGATTGTGCTGGCATATAATTTTGCTGCTGTTGACGGCCCACAGTGCATCATGGACTCCCAGTCTTGAGTTGCTAGGTCTGTTCAAAGTTTGTCCCATTTAGAATGGTGATAGTGCCACACAACGTGATGATGTTCTCAAAGTGAAGATGTGACTGTCTCCTCAAGGACCACGTGGTGGTCATTTTTGCTGATAGTGCCAAAAACAGATGCATCTGCAGTGGGCAGACTGGTAAGGATGAGGTCGAGTATGTTTTTCCCCTCCTGTTGGTTCCCTCACCACCTACTGCAGACTCAGTCAAGCAGCTACGTCCTTTAGGAGCCGACCAGCTCGACTAGAATTGCTGCTGCTGAGCCACCTTTGCTGAGGGACATTGAAACCCCCCACCCCGAGTATATTTTGTGCCCTTGCCATCCTCAGTGCTTCTTCCAAGTGTTGTTCAACATGGAGATGTATGGTCTCATCAGCCGAGGGACGAATGTAGGGAGTTTGCAGAAGGACTTGGACAGGAGAAAGGAAAAACTGAAAAAAAAAAGGTGAGAAAAGAAAGAAACGGTGTCAGAGCAGATGCTCAGGAGCCCTCCTCTGCCATCTTGTATCCAAGCCCTTGTCACTAGTACAGGCATTGACATGGAGAAAAAAAAATCAATTAACAACAATTCATAGTTAACTAGCAGACAGGTTGACTCTGATTTATCAGGGCATTGAGATTTGAGCCAGTGGGTGGCTATCACCAATTTTGTTGAGTTAAAACAGGCACATCGTACGGGCACAGGGTACTGTGTATTAAAATATGTAGCTTCCAGTGCACACAACTACATTGTATTATGAGCTTTCTCTTCATAACCCTTGATCCCCTTACTAAGGAACAATCTCTCTTACTTAAATATACACAATGACTTTGCTACGGAAGGGCGTGGAGGCCGTGATTTCCAGAGTCACAACCCTCTAACTGAAGAAATTCCTCGTCATCTGTTCTAAAGGGTCATTCCTTTGCTCTTAGGCTATACCCCAAGTCCTAATCTTTCCTACTTGTGTAAACATCTTCTCCATTGTGTACCGTATCCAGGCCTCTCAATAATCTAAGTTTCAGTGAGGTTCCACCCCTCCATCCTTCTTACCTGCAACAAATACAAACCCAAAGTCTTCAACTGTACCTTATATAACAAGCCCTTCGTTCCGGAGATTCTTGTGGACCTCATTTGGACATGATTAGTTATGGTCCCAGCATTAACCCCTGCAGAATTCCGCAAGTCACCAACTGCCATCCTAAAAAAGACCCCTTTATCCCACCCTCTGCCTTCTGCCAATTAGCCAATCCTCTAGCCATGACAGGGCCTTGCCCCTAACACCAAGGTACCACACAGCCTCCTGTGTGGCACCTTGTCAAAGGCCTTCAGGAAATCCAAATTGATCACCACTGCTGGCTGTCCTTTGTCTAACTTGCTTGTTACCTAATACATGGGCCATCCTTTCTATATTAATCTTTGTCTCCTTTGTGTTATCTTGACCATTTTGTTAACTACTACAGCACCTTTCTTTTCACCTCTACTGTTACTCATCCTCCATTGCCTCTCCTCTGCAAGGCTGCATTTCTCTTCAAATGAGCCCTTCACTTTGACTTTGGAGAATGCAGAGACACTTTAAAGCACCCACTACTGTGCACAGAACAGCAGGAACACCATGGATTCATCCACTTTCCCATTGAGGGCAAGTAATAACTCCTCCATATCCTGTTTACCCAATCACCACTTCCTGCTGGGTTTCTGCTTGTAACACCCCTCAATGTGCCTTCATTCAAATTGACCACTTACAAACTAGAACCATATGATTCACTTCACAAGTTTGAGGGGTGGCATAGGAGTTAGCACTGCTGCCTCACAGTGTCAGGGACCCATGCCTACATGAGTTTTCTCCAGTACTCCTGCACATCTTTGGAGTGTAAGAGGAACTGGTTAGGTGGATTAACCATGGCCAATTGCCTATGGTGTCCAGGGATGTGTAGGCTGAGTAGACTTGCCGTGGAGGCTGGGATGCTCTTCAAAGGGTCAGTGTGGTTTTCACAGGTCAAAAGGCCTGCTTCCACAGTGTAGGGATTCTATTACTGAACTAATGTGCT